GTAGCAAAAGGCTAACAAAAGCTAAAAGCAACAGTGTTATAGCACAACTAGCCAAAAGGTAAACATAACAAGGCTAACTAACTAAGTTATGTTTAGTAGCTTAAAGCGACAGGGAGCTAAAAGTAGCAAAAGGCTAACAAAAGCTAAAAGCAACAGTGTTATAGCACAACTAGCCAAAAGGTAAACATAACAAGGCTAACTAACTAAGTTATGTTTAGTAGCTTAAAGCGACAGGGAGCTAAAAGTAGCAAAAGGCTAACTAATGCTAAAATTAACAGACAGAGTGATTAAACTAGCCAAACTAATGAATAAACTTTAAAATGGCACATTTAGCTAAAATCCAAAAGTATCTAAACTAGCTAAAAGGTAAAAGTAGCCAAAGGCTAACTAAAGCTAAATATAGAGAAACACTTGATGAAAGTGAGCTAAATGCTTGTTGAAAGCAACAAAAGGGTAGCTACAGTAAATATAGCATAAAATAGCCTATATAATGTCTAGCTTGAAGCTAAAAGGACAGCTAAAAGTCTCATAAAGTTGTGTAAAAGATAAAACATTATCCTGCTTTAGACTATTTATTTACTAAAACCAAYAATAAAATGATACGATATGTAAAATGTTTGTATGTAATTAGATTAAAAAAGTATTTTGCTTTAATGAAACAGTTTTGACGAGGTTTTATCATTCTGACAGTTTATTTAGAATAAAACTCGACCTGAAGGTTGTTGACGTCACACTGTTCTTCCTTCAGTGATAATAAGGTGAAGACAACATATTTTCTTTGCTTTAAAACTACATTAAAATAATAATAATATATTCTGCTGTTAAATTCCTGTGGTAAAAGTCTCTGAGTAAATGTTGTTGGTGACTCCTGTTATAAATCACTTCCTTAGCTGATTTTTTCCTCCTGAAACAGGTGTGTTTTTCTTGTGTCTTGTCTGCTCCGGTTGTGTAACGGAGGTGTTTGCAGCGAGCCGGTCGCAGCCAGCAGTGTCTCGTATTATTAAAATCAGCATGAGTTTGCCTTCAGGCTCCTGCAGACTGCTGATCAGAACAGTAGTTTTTAATGTTCCCGCTCGTCGGCTGGGACCAGATCAAGGCAGCGGTGCTGATTTGATTTAAATTAGAGTTAAATAAAGGTCGCGYGCATTTAATGACGCTCTCTTTTAACTTCTTCACACCCATTATTGTTGCTGACCTGACATTAWTGATCAAAGTCTGGACTTGTTTTTAGCACAGGCTTGTAAAGTTTAGCTGATCCGCAGTGGGATTTAAAACGTAATAATGGATGATCTCATTAGTGAGTGTTGATAGGCTGCAGATGTGACAGGCTGGTTATAATCCAAATTATTCATGTTTTAGTGCACTGAAGTTACAAAAAACATTGTGCATATCCAGATTTTCTTTTTTATATATAATAAAAGTAGGAACTGGACGTTATAAATAAGGAAATAATGACTCAAGACTGACTAAGTTTGATTCCGAGAAGCAACRTCGCTGCTTTTGGCTGAATTGTTTTCGGCGCTTTTAACTCGGTCAGACGTTCGCCTGAGGTTTCCCTGCAGGGAAATCACCAGCAGAAAATTGGTTATTTTCCAGAAGCGTGAGGCAGAGCTGGTTACAGAATCAGATGTCTCCTCTCGTGTCTTGTTATCAGTGCAGATAATGTAGGATTGTTTCCAACCCTCTGTCCTTTGATTCAAACATTTTGATTCTGCTTTACGAGCGGCGCCTCGGCAAACATGAAGAGCTGACCCCATTTTTTTTGTTCCATCTGTAAAAATGTAGTCTGCTTCGGCTGTTCTAGCTCCTGAACTCACTTAATTATTGGTCATATGGAGCGAGAACAGGGGCGGAGCCAGAGGGGAGGCCGGGGTGGCAAAAGCCCTGGAACCTGATTGGCCACCTGTAAATAATTGATAAGTGGGTGGAGAACTTGGATTTTGTGTTTACATTTAGATTTAGTTAAATATTCTGTCATACTGCTGCACTATATGCTCAATTAATTACTAATTAGTATTAGTGGTTAGCTTAATTTAGCATCAGCATCAGTTATGGGCTTAATTATTCTTTGTTGCTTYGCAATAAATTTGATCTTAAGTCTTAAAAAGGCTGAATTTTAGCTTTTTAAAGCTAGCTGTGGCAGCCATCTTGAGTTTTTGATTAGCATTTAGGATTTTGTAACTATTGTTTTTGGTTACTTCTATAATAATTTTCAGCTTTGTGTGTCTAAAAATGGTTGAATGATAAGTTTCTTGGAGCATTCTTATGATCACACAAAATTAGTATTTATAAATCAGGATTTCTTAAATCAGCTGAATTTAAGCTAATTGGAATTAAATGCTGCGGCCATCTTGGATTTTCAAATCAGAAAGCTCTTCTAAAAATCACCCCTCGCAAAGAAGTGAGCAGGAAGTGAGTTTGTCACCAGATTACCTGTTTATTATTGACATATTAGGATGACTAAGGTGTTGGAAATGCACTTCTTTATTTATGTAGCATCTGTATCTCGCTCTCTCCTCTGGCTCCGCCCCTTCTTCTTGTACCCCACAKTGATGATTTTGCCCAGTGGTGGGCATCAGCCCGCTAAAGCGCAAATCCGCTAATTGCGGACCTTAATATTTCATTTGTGCTTTAGCTGTCTTACTAATTTTTATAATTCATA